GATACAACCCAAACTCTTGAACAAACACCACATCCCTGTTATCTTTCTTCTCAAATCACTTACATCGAACTGAGGGCACTACATATGCAGCAAAACACTTACAGTACGTGCACCGCCGCAGGCTCTCACTCTAGAGCAGACTAGACCCCGCGAACAAACATGAATACAACAGGTAGTACTGAGTCAGGAACGAGAACACATCCGACGGCTAACTGACCAGCATCCTCCAGTTCAGCTTCAAATCAAACATGGGCTACATGGCCTAACCATATAACACATTGAAAAGTACACGTCGCGACAATAAACACTAGCTCAGTCATGTTGTAACTAGGATATCCGCTGGAATTTTTTTTTATGGACCGTTTGAATCACTAAGTTATTAAAGTTAAACCGCTAACGGTTATCCCTGCTAATCTATGATAACCTTGACTAATTACAGAAATGTGCACACATAAATAGTAATGTTTGTCCCATCATTGGTTTTTATAAACTTTACAAACACCAGATTTGTCTAAACGGTGATAGTGACATGAAAAATTATTAGCGAAACTGTCGTCATTACTAACTACTATTAGCAAATGCTGTGAGAGAACTTTCAACAATTCCGGGCACTTACTAACAAAATGTGAACTGTGTCATGCGATAAACGTTCATTTGAAAGTAAATTATCATATTAAAATAGCATGGGTGTAAGTGCTGCAAACATGCATGCTGCTTACCTTCTCCATTCAGCCCGGAAGAGAAGAGGGACACGACGGCGCCTTCAGTTTAAAACAGTTCGGTTATGTCATGTGACTTCCCAGGGCATATTTCAATACAATATTTCACTGTAATTATACTGTTTAATGCTGTGAAATCCTTAATTTTCATTGTGTTGCTGTGATATTACCGACCTTGTTGTGATATAACAGCAGGTTTTAGATTGCAAGATTTTACTGTAAAATAAGAGTTAAATGCTGTAAAATCCAAGGATACTGTAGTTTTTACAGGTATTCATTGGGATATTACAGGGAAACTTAATTACAACAAGTTACTGTAAAATAATACTGTTAATTATTGTGAAATGCTGGTAATTTCTAACAGTGCAAACATGGCCAGAACGGACACCGTACTCAAAAGCATCAGACCAGTCAGGATATCCCTGGAGGTGTATTTTGAAGAGAAAAACAAAGAGATACTGGAAGCGGAGTCAAGAAATCCAGGAAGACAGACAGAAAAAAACGCTCTAACTGAGAACAAACCATGAAGATGTCGCACTGGGGTGCAAGATCAGACAAACTAAACTGGAATTAGCTGAGAGGCAAGGCTGCACAAGAACTGGGAAGACCATAAAAACCAATGCAGAAGCATGTAACCCAGGCAGACTCCATGTTTCAGGAAGGTAAGCCCGGTCGGGGTCTTCCGGGGGGCATGGTCTCCCTGATGTCACTCGGGGATCCCTGGGGTTAGTCTGTGACAGCTGTTTAAAGAATTGACTGTACATGTCGCTCACTGGTGGTGAGAATGATGCAAACCATTCTGCTTATCTGAGGTTCTGTGAACCCTGTAATTCTGTGTCTATGATAAATGTTTCTTTGCAGAGCTTCATGCTAAGTGGGCCAGGTCTCACACAAACACTGGTTATAATGATGACCCTTTATGGCACGGCACCATGGAAGATGCTTCAGGCTGTTGGCTTGGATGTGAAAAGTTAGTTTCAGACAAGATGGTGGGTGTTTGATAACAGTTCCTCTCCACTGTGGGAGTGGACAGGATGAATGTTCGTGCGGTATGTGTCACATTACCTGTTGTATGTTTTTATCTATAGCAATTTAAACAAGTGTAAAATATAACTAGAAACTGCAAGCAGTGACTGAGGGGTCCAAAGTATTGGAATTTTATATAAATATAAAGTACATTTTACCCACTCAAATAAGTATATACATCTACCAACTAGAAAGCAAATCTGTTATATGATTATTAGTGTTTTGCAAGATTAAATGATATTCTTGTGTTGTGTGATGGAATGAATGAGTGTTACATTTATATAGCACTTTTCAAGACAGCCAAAGCATATTACAGAACCAATGAGACTACCACTATGTAGCACCGACTTGGATGATCCAATCCAAGCAGTCGGTGCCAGTGCGCTCACCATACAGTAGCTAAGGTGGAGACGGGACAGGAGAGAATTCACCAATTAAATACACTATATTGCCAAACGTATTGGGACACCAGCCTTTACACACACATAAACTTTAATGACATCCCATTCTTAATACATAGGATTTAATATGGAATTAGCCTACCCTTTGCAGCTATAACAGCTTCAACTCTTCTGGGAAGGCTATCCATAAGGTTTATGAGTATGTTTTATGTGAATTTTTTACCATAGTCAACTGTAGTTCTCTATGCACTATTCTTGAGCTAATCTGAAGGCCACACAAAGTTTGGAAGTCTGTAGCAACTGACTCTGCAAACAGTTGATGACTTCTGCACACTGAGCGCCTCAGCATGCGTTGTCCCCGCTCTTTGATTTTACATGGCCTACCACTTTGTGGCTGAGTTGCTGTTGTTCCCAATTCTTCCACTTTGTTATAATACCACTAACAGTTGACCGTGGAATATTTAATAGAGAGGAAATTTCACTAATGGACTTATTGCAAAGGTGGCATCCTATCACAGTACCACGCTTGAATTCACTGAGCTCCTGAGAGTGACCCATTCTTTCACAAACGTTTGTAGAAGCAGCCTGCATGCCAGGGTGCTTGATTTTATACACCTGTGGCTACTGAAGTAATTGGAACACCTGAATTCAATTATTTGGAGGGGTGTCCCAATACTTTTGGCATGATTATGAGAAGATGATTAGGAGGCCAGATTTGAAAGGGTCACAGAGGGCAATTTTAGCCAGGGCATCAGGGTACTACTCTTACTCTTTCAAAAGATGCCCACGGATCCATTATAAACTCAAAGGGTCAAGAACTTGGTTTTATGTCTCAGCCAAAAGATGGCACTATTTTTACAGCACAGTGTCCCCATCAATGCACTGAGGCATTGGGATCCACACAAACCACAGGATGGGCTCCCCTGTTGGTCACACCAACACCTCTTCCAGCAGCAACCCAGCTTTCTTAGTTGATCTCCCATCAGAGTACTGGCCAGGTCCAAACCTGCTTAGTTTCACATGAACTTCCTAGGCTGAACTGTAGATAGTATGGTTGCTGATGTTGCATTGAATTTCTTTTAACTGAAATGAATTAAATTCTTCTTCCTGACAATTCTCAATTTTGCACGATGCTGGTTCTGATTAGAGGAGTAGGGAATAGGAGGGAAATTAGCAGTAGGGCATCTAGTTCTCTCCTTTTTCATAGCTGCTAAACAGGAACACCGCATGTTTGGGTTCTGCCTGTGAAATACTAGGCTCCAGCAGCTTCAGTCCTGCAGTGTTTTGTCAGTCTGAGAGAAAGTGCCTTCATGATGATATTTCATCGTGGGACTACACAGGGAGTAAGGAGACAGTTTCTGCTCCTCAATTTATCCCATACACCCCAAAAACTGGCCAGCAGAAGCAGGATATATGGGTAGCTATGCTTGGGGGCACACCACCGCCTGTCCGGCTGGCTGGGCAGAGCTGTGAGTGGCTGCACATGACATCAGGATGCTGCTACTGGGATTTAAATGATATATGATTCCTGGTCATATTAAAAAATGTGAGGTGCTGACATAGTTGGAATGTGCTTCTAGTCCAGCAGCTGCTCCCACCCTGGAATGCTGCTCTGACTGGCCAGGAATCCAGGACCTGATATTAAACATTTATTATGGTTCCATGGGCTGCATGCATCCTTAAACACATTCATCCTTAGGTCACATGGTGTGCCCTCCCATCCCACCCCCCAACAGATTGTCAGCTGCCACAAAGGAACAGTTGTGCCTCTGAAAGAAAACAAATGAGGCCCATTTTGTTTGATTTGACAGAGCCTTCTGATAAGCCTGTCAGGCAGAGCAGCATTGCATCGCAGAGCTTCATTGGTGCAGGTGGAGGTGCTGTCCCCTCCTGTAAAGCTGTGTCATTTTGACAGCAGATAAAACCAGCTCTAATAGTTTCTCTTCTACCCCAATTAGAATACAGGGTTTTTTTTTTAATTAGCTTGGAGCTGCTGCCTATTTGGTAACAAGTGCCTAAGTCCTCCACCCTGCTGTCCCTCCTGGAGTGGATCTCTACCAGTGCAATGTCTCTGTACATTCCTATGAACACCTTGCCTGTCTTTGCAGAAGGGGATCCACCCAAAGCTGAACATAAACCTCATGTCTTTTTTACTTGTCCTCAGACCTGTGAGCCTGATTGATCGTTCTTGACATAAGACTAAAACATATTACTGTGTGTGAAGATAAAAGGTGCATTTTGTTTATGGTCCAGAAAGACAGGAAAAAAAACTAGTTTAAGTTGCATGTAAACAGGGAGCCAGGCCTGCATTACTCAACAGTATAGCTTTCAGTCTGAGAACAAACAAGTAACATTTAGTAACAGTGTGACTTAACCGAGTATTTTCCAGGTGCTTCCCTGATCTCCCCTGAATGACTCACTCCTGGATGGTCTGCTCCCGCCTCGAAGCACAGCGGGACATTTACTGCGTACTTCAGATACCATGCAATAGGCCTATATTTATTATTCGGATAAACTCGATTGTGTTAATTAAACGGATCTTTATCTTTTTCTTTTCTAGAGATATTGCACATTTTTTTGTCACTTTAACATGTACAGTAAACCTGGTTTAATTTCGTTAAATGGCATAGGTAGTTTCCACAATTTGTCGGTTTTTACCTAGCGAGCTATCTCATGTCAACATGTATAATCGCTGCACCAGGTGCAGTCCGACCACCCCGTCCATTGATAAAATCACGGAAATATATGCTGCTTTTCAACTTCTGGGGGCGTCCCCGGCACTTCCTGTACTAGGTATGGCTGACTGGCAAACAGGCACTGTCCCACCCACCGCCCCGCTGTGGGGACGACTCGTGACCAAATGAGGGCAGAGCGATCGCAAAGCCGGCGGTGGACGGGTGGGCGCTGCGCACCGACACGGCTGCTGTCTGCGGCTTATCTCATTGTCTGGCTGCCGGAATTACTCATCGTAGACGGCCTTTAAAGAGCGGGTATTGTGCATTAGCAGGACTGTTGGCTGTCGCATCTTCACCGTCCAGCTTGAGTCCCAGTGATTCTTCAGCACCGCGGCATTATGGAGAAGAGCAGAGTCGCTCCGCTGGCACTGCTGCTCGGGTTGTGCTGCCTGCATCGTGCCGTCAACTTCAACCTGGATGCTGAGAGTCCTTCGGTTTATTCTGGGCCACAAGGGAGTTACTTTGGATTTGCAGTGGATTTCTTCACCCCGGAGACCGGGCAGTGAGTTGGCTGGTTTTGTTCAGCGTTGTTATGCCTGTCGTGCACGTTTATCGGTAGTCATACATTTTGCTGCTGGTCATCTCATTTTCCTTCTGTCTCTCACTTAATAAACGAGCATTTTTTTAAATGAGCACCATCCTTTTCAGGTAAAACTTTAGCGTAATTTCAGCTGTATTCGCACAGACACAGTGCAGTGCGAAAGACGTAAGAAGACGCGCTTCTAAAATGTCAGCAGAATAAAAGTTTTTAAAATCATAAATGTCACTGGGTTCTGCCTGTCTGAAAACTGTGTTTACGCAGGTTACGGGTGCTGGTCGGTGCCCCCAAAGCCAACACGTCAGGCGCCGCCGAGGTGGTGGAGAGGGGGTCTGTGTACAGTTGTCCGTGGCAGAGCGGCTCCACCTGTGCTCAGGTCCCCTTCGACACCCGCGGTGGGTCCCGCTGCCCCGCACATCACGCTATTTTTAAAGAAACTTTCTGTTTCATTGTTGTGTATATCTGTAGTTTGGGTGTCAAGCAGTCCTGACCTAAAATGAGATGTTTTTGGTCAGATATTTAACAACTGGTTTGTAGTTTAGTATAAATGAAGAAAAAAAACTTGTAAAGGTAACCTTTTTAAGAGAAACACAAATAACATAAATCATACTTGTATCTTGAAAGGGAGCCTGTGGTGTCACCTTTTCTAAGTGGTGAATGAGCCCATAAAATCGCTAGTCCTCCACTATGCAAAATATCTGATTGTGCAGGGCAGTCATTTCCATTATCTTGGTAGTTTTGTTTTTAGCTCTGGTGCTGCTTTGAATATTGGTAAGGTTAAAGTATTGGCTGGCAAAATTGGTGAAGATTCACACATTGGACCAATGAAGTATCTATATTTAACCCAAAAATTATTCTGACTTTACAGATCAATGCATTGAATCTTCACCTTAATAATCAATTCATCATGATGCATTGATGCATCTTACTACACCCCTAGTTCTCCAGGTCCCTTAGAAGGTGACCAGATGGGCATTCTCTGTGCCGTGCCTATGGCAGAGCTCTTCATCATGGGGTCACCTTCAACTTGCAATGGTGCTTCTCTGATATGCTGATTCCTGGGCCCAGCCCAACATGACTGCTCATGCTCTGCTTTATCTCTGAGCATTAACTTGCAACTGCCCCACCCCACCAACACGGAATGTTCCCGGCCCTGCTCGGACACACAGACGCCATGCAGCCAGCATGTGCGCTGTGAGCAGAACCCAATGTACATCTCCATCCCAGCCAGCCACTCTCCCTTCGGAACTCCAGCTCCCCAGAGACTGACTTACTGTGGTTATTTTTCATATGACCACAGTTGTTATATGGGGGGTTGGGGCTGTCTGTGACTAAGTATGAGGAAGTGAGTTGTTGTATGTGAGCATGAGCTGGGGGTGCCACACTCAAGCTGAGACGTGCATCTCAGGAATCCCCCTCCCTGCCCCCCCAAGCTGGCAGCAGGATCTGACAGGCTGGCTATTGTCTGAGCCAGTTACCACAGCTATTGAGCTGTGTGTTTCCTGGGAATGGTTACCTCATGCCCATGTCCATTTGCGGATTGTGTCACTCCAGCATGCTTACACTGAACTAGAATGCCTCGTTCTGGAGCGCCTGACCTAGAGCACCTCGCCTGCCCTGGGTTCATCCTCTTTCAAACCGCAAACCGTCTCGCCCTATGTGGGGTCTGGGCATGTCCCTGAACATGGCTGACATCTGCGCGTGCTGAAAGAAGCTCCAGTAATTTCATATTTGTAACAGTTCCCAATTAGAGTACTGCCTGTGATGATCCTGTTGTTATGAAGCAGCACAGGGGACAGGGGGCATCCTATGAATAGTTTCAACTGTTAGTCTATGTCAGGGGTGGGCAGTCTTATCCAGAAAGATCCATTGGGTAAACAGGTTTTCACTGCAACTCCCTAAATAGATGACTAATTAGAGTACTTACACCAGGGTTTGTACAGCTGGCCTAAAGGTTATCACAAAAACCCACATATACCCCTGGCCCTTTGTAAATAAGATTATCCACCCCTGGTTTATGGAGTCACATAATGCGAGCTGGCAGGACATTTGACATGTTGCTGTATCGTTATGACCTGGGCCCCCCCTCCCCCCACTGTTCTCTGCTCATACATGCGCATCGGTTCATTCGGCTGCCATATCCCTCCCACTCAGGTAATAGGATCATAGGCAGCGTGCAGATGGAGTTCAAGTCCAGCCAGTGGTTTGGAGCATCTGTGCGGGCACAGGGGGACACCATCCTGGTGAGCTGTCACACCCCGCGTTGTGCAGCCCGTGGTTCTCTCCTACCTTCCAGCTGAACTGGTCAGGCTTAAGAGTCTGCTTCCCTCCCCAGGCCTGTGCCCCCCTCTACCAATGGGGTACCTCTGGGGGTAAGGAGAGAGAGCCAGTGGGAACTTGTTTCCTGAACAAGAATGGGAAAGTGGTGGAGTACTCCCCATGCAGGACAGGTATAAAATGGTACCTTGGTGAGCTGCTGTAACTGTGTGGTGTGAGGGGTGTATGAGGCCTTTCCATCAGTCACATTAGCATGGATATAGGAGCACTTTTTGTTTCTCTTTCAGCCTTTGGTGCTCCAAATGGGCAGGGTTTCTGTCAAGCCGGATTTAGTGCTGATATTGTGAAGGTAAGCTACCTGTTTTCCCTTACATCAAGTATATGTGAAGCTTAATGTGTCTGAATGAGGTGTCTGGTGACCACATGTGCTGACTGACTATCTTAATGAGTACCGAGTGTTCTGGTGTGCCCATTTGCTGAGAGAGTATCTTAATGAGTACTGAGTGCTCTGTTGTGGCCATATGCTGAGTATTTTAATCCTTCTCTCTTTTAACAGAATAAGCGTGTTGTTGTTGGAGGACCTGGCAGCTTCTATTGGCAAGGTGACCTCCATGACATCCATGTTCGCAGCAGTTACAGGGGAGCGGGGAACTCAGTCACCACTGGAAGTAGCCTTAACTCTCAGGCAGCACTTTCCCACTGTGTTGAGCTTTAGCATCCCTTCAAGGAGTAGCAGGATATGGACAGACTGACGCCTCCCCCATCCTAGAGCATGAGAGATGCTCCTTTGCTGTATGCTGCATTAGATCTAAATACAGTGGTACCTTGGTATCACTTAATCCTCGGTGTCCTTAATCCGTTCCTGATCCTTGGACTTATACCAAACAGGACATATACAAACAAATTTTTCCCATAAGAATTAAAGGGAAAATGATTAATCTGTTCCCATGAAAAAAACCTATTGTTATTGGCATATTATACATTGATGGGGTTGTATAAAATAATTTAAACACTGCTTAATACTAAAATACATAAATAAAAAAGCAATTAGTTGAAATAAATGTTCAGTGAATGGTAGCAACTGGCGTACTGATGCTCGTGGGCAGTCGTGGCTTTGTCTTGAGAGAGGTAAACAAGGGTAGACCGTTGTGTCGTGACTCATTTTGACCTATACAAGTTCTGGCATGCAAGTCGTATTCCAAACAAAGGTCGTATACCAAGCAAAATTTTTTCATGTCCAAACAGGGCATATACCAAGTTGGACTTATTCCAAAGCAGACGTATAGCGAGGTACCACTGTATTATGCGTGCTGGTTAGGGCTGCCCCCCTATGGCTGGCTGGTAATACTCTCAGCTCTTTACTTCTTTTGACTGTGGGTGTCTTCTTACTTCTCCATATGAAGAAAATGAATGTGTGTCAGAATCTGTAGCTATTTTAACATAGTCTTTGTATAGTCATGAAATGGAGGATTCAGTACAATCATTGTGCTCTGAACTAACTGGGTTATGTCTTGTTTTCAGGACAGCTGATATCTGATGAGATTTCTGAAATTATGAGCCACACTAGTGATGAACTGTTCACCAAGTACCTGAATCAGATGTCCACCAGGTCCGCGATAGCTGAGTATGATGACAGCTATCTGGGTGAGGGGCTCTCCATCAGGGCCACGAGGGAAGCTGCTGTTAGGAAGCTTCAGTTTTGCCAGCTTCTGCTGCATTAATACTATGTCTCATCGCATTTCTTAGGTTACTCTCTGGCAGTTGGTGATTGCAACAATGACGGGGAAGACGGTGAGCTTTAATTTGTCATGGAGTTTTCACAAAGTCGTTTGGGTTGTCAGAAACCATATGACTTTCAGGACATAAACATGGTCAGAATTAAGGAGTTTGAAACTAGTTCTTATGTCCTCTGTGTACAGACTACATCACCGGAGTTCCCCGAGGTGGCAATGCCCTTGGCTATGTAAGAGCCGCACCGCCCACCCACTGCAGCTCTTAGTGTGCCCCCTTCAGGAAGCTTGTGAGAATAGAAATGTCTTTGTGTTTCAATAGGTCAACGTCCTCAATGGAATGAACATGGTGTCCATGGTCAACTTCACTGGGGTGCAGGTGAGGCTTTATGGGTAATTCCCAGCTGCCTCTATTGGGCTTCCCACAAGGGACTTGTGCTAAAGGTTCTCCTGCCTTACTCTGAATATCTGCAGACCACTAATGGATGTGAAAGGACACAAATGAGAAGTATGTGATTGGTTGCCAGCTTGTGGGCGCGGTTTCCTTGTGGGTCCATCTGATGAAAGTTCTTGCATTTTGAGTTCTTATTCTTCGCAAAGTGATTAGGGATAACCTGGCTACTTCTGTTCAGCTTCGAGATAGTACAGAGAGACATCACAGTGGAGGTGCTTCTGATTGATTTCTCTCTTTGTGACACCCACAGATGGCAGCATACTTTGGACACTCTGTAGCGGTGACTGATGTCAATAATGACGGGTATGTCACCCTGTGTTTTCTGCTGCTGACTCTTTCAGCTTGCCTGATGATAAATGGGAAGTCAGGTGATGTGCCTGTCCGCTTTAATACCGTGCCATTTACCTGTATCAGCTTCATAGACTTGCTTGTGGGTGCCCCCCTCTTCATGGACCGTGGTTCCGATGGCAAGCTGCGCGAGGTGGGCCAAGTATACATCTACCTGGGGAGGGGTAGCTTCACCTTCCAACCCTCGCAGAAGATGATGGGTACAGAGATCTACGCTCGCTTTGGCAGTTGCATCATGCCACTGGGTGACCTGGACATGGATGGCTTCAACGGTACAGTCATTCCTGGGAAGGCTGCATATGATAAAGCCGGCGAGTACCCCCCCACTGACTGGCAGTGTTACCCTGCCACCCCTCTGCAGACGTAGCCATTGCCGCCCCCTATGGCGGGCCGGAGCATCAGGGCCTGGTGTACATCCACAATGGTCGTGCTGAGGGGCCCCAATCCAGCGCCTCCCAGGTACTCATGGGAAAGTGGGCCACCAGCAGCATGCTGCCCAGCTTCGGCTACGCCATGCACGGTGCAACCGACATCGACCAGAACGGGTACCCAGGTACGCAGAGGAGGGACCCAGATATGCACAGGAGGGGTGGGTTTCTCACAGCACTGTGGCAGTAAGGCACATTCCTAGTGAAGATGATCATTCATCCTGGTGCTGATCTAGTTTCTTAGGCTCTGCTAAGTTAGATGTCTGTTCAGGGCCCTTGTGGATCCATACTGCACTACTTCCTTGTATAACTGCCTTGACTTTGGTGACTGACACTCCTCGCAGTCTGGGTCGGTGATGTGGAATTTCTGCTCTGCCTCACAGACCTGCTGGTTGGAGTGTTTGGTGCGGACACAGCGGTGCTCTACAGGTAAACATACTGATTTTACGGCTCTGCATTTACGGGCTGCTTTGAAGAGGAGAGTTCCACCTCAGTGCTATTAGTGAGCACAGATCACAGGCACTTTGAAGAGTGCAGCTGGTCCTGCTGTGCAAACAGGCTGCATTCCCAAGCCTTTAGGAGACTGGGCAGCCTAACCATCTCCCCCATCTGATGGCAGATCACGACCTGTCGTTCGGGTGACTGCCACGCTGGACAGCATCCCCTCCATGCTGAACCCAGAGCAAAAGAGCTGCACACTGCCTGGGAGTGGATCCAGCGTGTCATGGTGATGGTCTGTGCCCCCCCCCCCCGCCATCTCAGGATGGAACGTGACCAACAACCTGCTGTTTCTGCTTCCCTTTCAGCTTCCAGGTGCGCTTCTGCTTACAGGCCCAGGGCAAAGGAGCCACTTCCACACTGCGTAAGTCTCAATGCGTGAGCCTGCCACTTACAGGCAGGATCACAAAGATGAAAGGATGAACATGCTGCCATTGCTCCCCAGGCTTCCAGGTGAACCTTACATTGGACCGGCTGAAGCCCAAGGGAATTATAAAGCGCGTGATGTTCCTGCAGAGCAAGATATCTCACTACTCAAGGAATATCAGTGTCAGCAATGGCAAGGATTCCACATGCGAGGAGCTTAGCGCCTTCCTCATTGTGAGCTTCTGCACCACAGGGGTTGGAGGGGGGGCGAGGTGCCTTCCGCGGGGTTAACGGCACTCTGTGCATCTCCCACAGGACGATTCAGAGTTCCGGGACAAGATCACACCTATTGTAATCTTCATGGAGTATAGCTTGGATACACAGACGGCTGTGGACTCGGCTGGCCTCCTGCCCATCTTGAACCCCTTCATCTACCCCAATGTATCCACACAGGTGCTGAAAATAGCATGTGGCCCTGAAATGGGCTGAATATCCTGTATCATACACATTATTACTGACAAATCCTGACAGTGTTCAGTACACAGCAGCTGTTGCTAGACCTGCACTTACATCAATGCCTGCTCTCTCTTGCTCTCTCTTTATGCCTGTCTGCTCTGTTTGCCTATTCTGCTTGTCTGCCTGGCTATGTCATACTCTCAGGCTCACATTCTGCTGGATTGTGGTGAGGACAACATCTGCAAGCCGGACTTGCGACTGTCAGTGCTGAGGTCTGTGGTGCATGGGCTGGATCAGGGGCCAGCCTTTTCCTGGACAGGTGGCCCCTAACAGTTGTGGCCGTTTTTTGCCTAGCAAACAGAAGCAGATGTATATTGGTGATGATGGTCCCCTGACACTGGAGGTGACAGCGGACAATGTGGGGGAGGGCGCATACGAGGCAGAGCTCCATGTTTACATGCCCCCGCAAGCAGACTTCAGTGAGGTCATACGCAACAAAGAGGTGGGAGCACTGCCTGTGCCGTTCAGACTTTCCTTTAGGGGACCCTGTACCTGTCACTCCAAGCTTTTGAGTTGAGACTCCATGGCTGACAGTCATCATATCACTGTTGAGCCCTTTACCAAGGCCCTTAAGTCCACCTGCTGCAGAGGTCCTGCTGTCTAATGAACGTGATGGCAGCTGCCGTTTCCTCCTCAGACACTCTCCAGGATCTCTTGTTCCTACACGCGGGAGACCAGGCTTGTGGTGTGTGACCTTGGGAACCCCATGAAAGGAGGAACCACAGTAAGTCTAATATCCACTCAGAGTGCAGAGCAGCATAGGTGCCTGACAGCCACTGACCAGCCCAGCTCTGCCCCCCACTGTAGTTGACGGCGGGCCTGCGTTTCAGCCTTCACCAGGTCTCCGACCAGGACACCGCCATTGAGTTCCGCATGGAGATCGTCAGGTAAGAGCTGGACTGGGGCTTGGCTTTCTGCGCCCCCCCCCCGCTTCATAGCCTCTCTTGCCGTTCACCTTNTTCCGCATGGAGATCGTCAGGTAAGAGCTGGACTATATCCTCGCTGCCTGCTCCCAGCCCCCGCTTCATAGCCTCTCTTGCCGTTCACCTTGCAAAGTGCTTATTAAGAGTTTACTAGGGACACACGGTTAAAAAGGGAAATGGTTATCTTATTCTGTTCTATTTCAAGTAACTTTAGACATGGAACATGGAAACTGTGGTGGTTTGATTTTCCTGGGTGTCTTTTAGGTGTGGGTGGGGAGTCTTCTCACTGTGAATAAAGGTTTAGCATACTTTCTTAGACATTGCTTGTGGAGGGGAGGGGGGAGGACTGTCCTTGTCATACATGCCCCCATCATGCCACCACTGTCTGCCCCCGCCCCCTGCTTCATAGCCTCTCTTGCTGTTCACCTTGCAGCTCAAACCCATATAACAACAAAAGCAACAGTGTGTCCACGGTGGTGGAGCTCGAAGTTATGGCCAAGGTGGAAATTCGAGGGTGAGCAGATGATGCCGGCTGTTTCATTTGGACTTTGTGTCCATCTACTTTCAGTACATTTCACTTCCTTTTATGGCCACAGGATGACCTCACCCCCTCCCCCTCAGCCTGAGAGCTTCCTGTTCTAACTTGTATCATAAAAAGCTTTCTGAAACTCTCCTTCCTGACCTTCAGTTCATGCTCCATGCCTGGCTTTCCGCAGTAACTCCGGGCCAGATCAAGTGATCCTGCCCATCCCCAACTGGGAGCCCGCCGAACCCCCAGTTTTTGAGGAGGACATAGGGCCTTTGGTTCAGCACATCTACGAGGTCAAACACACCCCTGATCACTGGGTCTCCAGCTCACACAGAGCTTGGCCACCCAGCTCAAGCCCACACTGTCTCCCTGCAGCTCCGAAACAAGGGACCGAGTGACATCAGCAAGGCCATGCTGGATGTCGAGTGGCCCTACAGGTTCAACAATGGCTCACTGCTCTACATCATGAAATACGACATGGACGGACCCATGAATTGCAGCACAGAAATGCAGATCAACCCCCTCAATGTCACGGCAAGTGCTTATTGGCTAGGTGCCTCTAATGGGGTGGGATTGACCCTCCCCCTGACAGGGCCTTCCTCCCTGACTGGGTCTTCCTCCGCTCCAGAGCTCGAAAGTCAAAGAAGGCAATGCGACGATAGCCAGTGGTGACAGGTCAGATGACACCAAGCACAGCCGCACTCGGCGTGACTTGGAAGGAAAAGAGACGGAGAACCAGCTTGAGATCCTGGTATGGATAGTGACACAGAGCTCCCAGATCCCTTGAGCATCTCTGAGGGGGACATTTTCTGTGCCTTCTTTCCCAGGACTGTGTGAAGGCCCAATGCCTTAGGATCAGATGTCAGATAGGCCGTCTGGAACAAGACCGGCACGCTCTCCTGATGATCTACTCACGCTTGGCTGTCAGCACCTTCCTTACTGTGAGTGACCCCAACCCCCTCCCCCACAGTCACAGAGCTTCATGCTAAAGCCCCCTTTCCTACTATTACCAGGATGACAGTAAGAACCACTCCTACGCAGTGAGGTCCACAGGCTCCTTCAGTGTTCTAGAGATGCCCTACAAGAAGAAGCCTTCTGAGCTGACATCCAACTCCACTATGGTGAAACTGCTGCCCTTTCCCACATTTGCATATCTGAAATGACAAGGGCATCTTGAATCGCACCTGAGTATGTGACCTCGCTTTGGCCTGCAGGTGAACACCCTGGTGACCTGGACCGGGACTCTGTCCAAGCAGTCGGTACCTGCTTGGGTCATTGCCCTGGCCATCCTGGCTGGCCTGCTGCTGTTGGCCCTCATGATTCTTATCATGTATAAGGTATGTGTATGTGTGTGTGTGTGTGTGTGTCACCCTCTGGTGAACAAAGGTCCCAGTGCACTTCCTTGAAGTGTAGGTGTTAATAGTTCATTCCCTTTCCCCCTTCAGGTTGGGTTCTTCAAACGTGTGAGGCCCCCCAAGGATGACAACATAGAGAAGGAGCAGCTCCAGCCACAGGAAGGAAAGGAGGGCTAACCCAGACACAAGGTCCCCACCCTGCCCCCAGCAGCTATGTTGATGAAACTAACAGGCGTGGCTTTAGATGATTTGACCCAAAGTGAACCACAGATGGATACAAGTACAGAGGAAGCATCTGTTCATGTGGTACAGCATGTGGGGCACTGTCATGTGGTTAGCTGGCTCTGTTTTTTTTTTTTTCTTTTTGACTTTTTAAAATGACTGCTGCTGAACAACTGCATGGGGCTCTTTCTCCAGCAGACTGCGGGGTCAGACAGCCTCACCATGTGTGAACATGCCCACCCTCTCCAGGGGGGTGCCAGTGTACACCAGGCAAGATTTCACTTGAGGGTTCAAATTATTAATTTTAGCCAGAAACACTTGAACTTATTTTCAATGAAGAAGTCACAACTTCTTCATTTTCTGTATATAGAAGGCTATGATAGAATTATATAAATAAAATGTGCTTATTAAGAGTTTGCTAGGGACACATGGTTAAAAGGGGAAATGGTTACCTTATTCTATTTCAAGTAACTTCGGACATGGAACATGAAAACTGGAAACTGTGGTGGTTTGATTTTCCTGGGTGTCTTTTAGGTGTGGGTGGGGAGTCTTCTCACTGAATAAAAGTTTAACATACTTTCTTAGACTTTGCTTGTGGAGGGGAGGGGGGAAGACTGTCCTTGTCACACATGTAATGGTCTGTGTTTACAGGCAGACAAAGGGGAAGCTGGTAATCCCCAGCAGATAGGCACTGCTGCTCCTCTCGTTATCAGAGACACACACACATACCTGTAATTATATCTTTGTTGGACCGCTCATTCATTTCTATGGGAAAAATGCTAATACTGACTATGACAACCTTAACCCCTACCCAGCTCTGACCATAACCATAAGTAACCAAAAAAAATACAAGAGTTTTTGCATTTTGAGTGCAGTCACGCATTTTTAGAAAATTGAGTTTTCCTTTATGGGGACCAGCAAACTGGTCAAAAAAATTGGTATTCATCATGTTGTGGGGACATTTGATCTGTGGACCACACACACACAGCCAGCAAGCCACACAAATGCACACTGTGTGAGCTCAGATCCCTCAGCTGCCCATTTCTGTTCTTCATCTTCATGTTTCATGTTTAATGTGGCATTTCTCTGGTCAGAATCTCCCTGGAAAAATGGAGCATGATTCCCAGCTTCATGATGCTTAAACCAGCGTTTCTCAACCTGGACCCATATTCTCAAAGCATTTTCTCTTACCACTAAGAGTACTCTTAAATCGTACTAAAAGTTTTTAAATAAGAGTTTTTTTTCCTAAAACCTATATACAAAGTAGCTGAGAGCAACTTCTGGTTATGAAAAGAACTAACTCCTAAGCTAAGAGTAAGGCTCTGTCATTTGGGCTAACGTCAGTTCTCATGCACAAGCTTGCCTGCAATAACCACAGGGATTGGTTGATGAGAGGCCAGTATGTGCTAGTGAAAATGTATGCGCAGCATCCCATAAACACAAATACAGTGGAAACCACTTATAGTGATCATGATTATGGAGATAAACCGCTTATATGGATCAAAAAGCTTGGGACAGAATCATTCCTCTGCAAATACTGTTTAAATAATTTGCTTATAGTAATTCACGTAAAGTATTGATTTTTGGTCTTTTTAAATATCACAACATAAGGAAAACATTATATATACACTCACCTAAAGGATTATTAGGAACACCT